GTCTGGACAGCTTCACAGGGTTAGATAGTTTACTAAAAATTTTTCTTGCTTTTTGAGGTAGGCCTGCAGTGCTATGAACTTCCCTCTTAGGGCTGCTTTCGCTGTTCCCCATATATTTGAGGTTGTATTCATTTTCATTTGTTTCTAGGAAGTTCCTGATTTCTTTCTTAATCTTATGTGTAACCCATTCATCATTTAATAACACACTATTTAGCCTCCATGTGTTTGAATGTTTTTGAGTGTTTTTACTGTAGTTGATTTCTGATTTCATGCCCTTGTGATCTGAGATGCTTGACATGATTTCAGTCTTCTTCAACTTGTACAGACTTGTTTTGTGTCCTAAGATGTCTATCTTTGAGCATGACCATGTGCACTAGAGAGGAATGTATATTCTGCAGCTTTGGGGTGAAATGTTCTGTAAGTATCAATTAAATCTATCTGATCTAGTGTCCATTTTGTCACTGTTTCTGTGTTGACTTTTTGTCTGGAAGATCTATCCAGTGAAGTCAGTGGGGGGTTAAGGTCGACAATTATGACTGTATTGCTGTTGATCTCTCCCTTAAAGTCCTTAAGGTTATTATCGATAGATCCTTATTTATTGCTATTTTAATTCTTTATGCCTATATTTGTCTATTTCTTCTTATTACAGCAGTCCCTTTAACATTTCCTACAATGCTGGTTTGGTGGTGATAAGCTCCTTTAGCCTTTTTGTGTGTGTGGGACACTCTTAATTTCACCATTTATTTTGAATGATAGCTTCACTGGATAGAGTAGTCTTGGTTTCAGATCCTTGCTTTGCATTACCTTGAATACTTCATGCCATTCCCTTCTGGCCTGTAGAGTTTCTGATGAGAAGTCAGCTGACAGCCTTATGGGAGCTCCTTTGTAGGTAACAGATTGTTTTTCTCTTGCTGCCTTTAAGATTCTCTCTCTTTTTTTTTTTTTTTGAATTTTTGGCATTTTAATTATGATGTGTCTAGGCATGGGCCTCTTTGGATTCTACTTGCTTGGGACTCTCTGTGCCTCCTCAACTTGTGTGATTTTTCCTTCACCAGGTTAGGGAAGTTTTCTGCCGTTATTCTTCAAACAGGTTCTCTAACCCTGGCTCACTTTCTACATCTTCTGGTAGTCCTGTGATGTGAATATTTTTATGTTTCCTGTTGTCCCACAGCTCCCTTAGACTGTCCTTCTGTTTTTAATTGTTTTCCTTTTTGGATCTCTGAGTGATTTTTTTCTACCCTGTCTTCTAATTCACTAATCCAATCCTCAGCTTCCTCTAATCTGCTCTTTATTCCTTCCAATGTATTCTTTGTGTCTGCTATGTCACTCTTAATTTTCTTCATAGTTTTCATATCTTTTTTCATGCTGTTGAGCATCCTTACAATCAGTATTCTGAACTCTATATCTGATAGATTGTTTAATCCCATTTCATTTAGCTATTTTTCTGGAGACTTCTCTTGTTCTTTCATTTGGGCTTGTCTTTTTGTCTCCCTATTTTGGCCACCTATTTGGGTTTGTTTCTATGAATTAGGTAGGCCTACTAGGACTCTCAATCTTTTTGGATGGTCTGTGGTGAGGACCAATGTCAGATGCTGTTTGTGACTGGCCTTGAGTAACCTGTTTGGAGCTATCAACAGCCCAAAGCTTGAGGTCCCCTCTGTTGGGGCTGAGTGTGTTTGGACAGAAACAAGATGCACACCAAAGTCTGCTTTTAAAGCCCAGGTCCAGAAGCAGATCAGGCAAAGAATCAAAGCACTCTGAAGTCTGCGTTTGCCTGGAGGCTGTTTAATCTGATTCTCTTAATGGGCCTCAGGATGTAGAAACTCCACAGGGTAGGGGGAGAGGTTTTCCAGCAGGGTGGGGCAATTGCTTCCCCCTCAGGCAAAAACTGCTTAGAAGGTAAATGTCTGCCTCTGCAGTATGAGGGAATGACCTGGCACAGGAATCCAGAGGGGTGCCCTCTGAGCTCTATCTCCAGAGCCCACAACCCTAGATTATCCTCTCATAGCTCCAGTCAGTTATCCTCTCCCTTTGCTGGATCCCAAGGTGAGTGGCTGCACAGGAAACTTTGTGCTTTGGCTCTTTAAGAGGGTGCCTGCATTTCCAGTGTTCTCTCTGTGGCAGACAGAAACCCAGCTGCTTTTCACAGCCAGAGGTTATGTGGGCAATTTTTTCAGTCCTGGTACTCTTGGCTGGGAAGCCCAGCCTGAGGTTTAGGCCTCACTGGGAACCCCCCAGAGCTGAAGTATCCTTCTGGACCTTTATCTGCTGCCTGTGGGAGCCCAGCCAGCTCTCTCACACCTCCGCACTTCCTACCAGTCTCTGTGCGGTTTCCTCTTTTTGTTCCTTGGTTATGAGCGCCCTCTCCAGCTCCTCTTCAGTTGCAGTTGATTATTCAGGATGATTTTTCTATATTTTAGTTGTAATTCCAGTTTGGTCCCAGGAAAGTGTCAGTGTAGCTTCCACTCAGTCTGCCACCATCTTTAATCTCCCTCAATCTTGTTTTCATTGTTGCTTCTCTCTCTCTCTCTCTTTTTCTCTCCCCCTTCCACTCTCTCTGAAAAGCTGGAAAGCAATGGGAAGAATATCCTCAAGTGAAGATTAAAAAAAAGAATGTATGGTGGAGCCATGGCCTATGTGATTCTGTGGTTAGAGTGTTGGCCTGTACGCTGAAGCATCTTCGATTGGATTTCTTGTCAAGGGCATGAACCTGTGTTAGAACTACCACGTTTGGGAGGCAGCCAATCAGTATGTCTCTCTTGCATCACTTTTCTCTCTCTCTCTCTTTCTCCCTCCCTCCCTCCACTCCCTTCCACTCTCTCTAAAAAAAAAACAATTAGTGGAAAACATGTGAGAATTAGCCAAAAAAAAAAAAAAAAAAAAAAT